CTGAAGCATGCTCCAACACCTACCAGCAAGAAATCCAGATGGATAAAGAAAGGAGGGAAGAGAGACCACATTTGCACACTGTTTTTCCTTTAAAAATAAATAAATAAATAAACAAAACTCCACAGGCCTAAGTGACCAAAAACCTACAAAAACTTCGAGTGAGCTTCAATTGAAAGAAAGAAATGATAATTAAAAAAATAAAAATAAAAACATCACAAAGAGGTCTAGCCGCAGGAAACCACTAAAAGGTGCAGAGAAGAGCTGAAAATCAGAGAAACCCTCCAAGAGGCAAAACCCTCTCTTTCCTCTCTAACTAAACATGCGACACGAAAGGCAAAGAATTGTATCTACTACATAAACCTTCCAATCACAGAGTTGTTAACTATGACTGAAACAACTTACTTTTGCATCATGATACTGAAGAAGGTTCGTCAGCAGGGGAACAGCTTCCATCACGAAGTCGGCTGCATCTGAAGGAAGCTTCTTGCACATATTAGCAGCAGTTGACAACGCAACTCTCTATAATACAATTTCAACAAAATGATAATAGTTAACATGTAAATTATAGGAACCCTGATGAAAAACAAGTCCAATCTTTGACCGTATCCAAAATCTGTAGAGCAATAGGGTCAACAGCAATCAGTTACCTGAACTCCTGTGGAGAAGAAATCTAAATATGAAAGCACAGCCATAAGAGCACCAGCCCGCAGACAGGCAGTAGGGTGTTCCTGGGATATCTTCTTTAAAGCTTGCAGGGACTGTTGACAGAAACCTACTTCTATTAGTACCATCGTCTCAGACTTGAGAAAACATGAACTCACAGAATTTCGATGCATGACATACAGGCAAAAAATTCAAGAAACACCCTGTTTTAAGTATCAGAATGATGCTATTTGGAGTTCCGAGAAGAAAACAACAACAGTAAGCACCAATCAGTAATTAAAACAAAAACAAGACGAGAAAACTACATAATCTACAAGTAAAAACACAGTCTCATTTCCTCCTGATCACCAAAGTGCTCGAGAAGAGCTAGCATTTTTAGCTCCAGTCACTTATCACGGTAAATCTTATGCATTAGCAGTATAGGTCACTCACAATTGGTAACAATTTGTACTCCCAAGTTTCACAAGGACTAAGTCAAATGCAAAGAGCAAACCTGTTCAGCTAGGTCCATGTATTCTATAGTCAGCAATCTAGCACAGAAGCAGGAAACGGCACCATAATGCACGACGGCAGCACATGATGAAGGTAAGAAATCGCACAGATGGGTCAGTGCCCTGGCCGCTAAAAGCATTATATCAGGATTGCTTTCGTGATTAAGTAGCCCAACGAGGACAGGGACAAAGGAATCCACAGAGAAAGTACTTAGAGACTCCTCGGTGCCAATAGAGAGCATCTCACAAAGTTGGGTCAATGCCTCAACCTGCCTTCCTTCTTCTCCATCCGCTCTCAACCCAGATAAGATCTTCTTAAGCCGTCCTCTCTGCTGTGAGGATGAAGCCGATGCAATTGCGGAAGATGGAAGTAAATCATCCAGTCCAGCACCGAGTTTCCTCAGAAGTCCTTGAAGGGCGCTGCTTGCTGTGGATAAATTTTGCTGTAAGACTCCCATTCCTCCTTCACTGTCGTTATCATCATCATCCCCACCGCCACTGCCTTCAATATTTAACCCAAAACTCTGCTCAGCATTTCTTTCTCTATCCCCGATTCTAACCTCGTGTTCTTTCTCCTTCCCCTTATCCGAGTTTTCCTTATCAGAATTCTTTCCGCGTCGGCGTGACCCTGATGACTCATTGGTCGAGTCCATTGGAGTACTAGTGGCAGACGGTTCTTGGTTTCGAGTAGAGCGAGAACGTGTTGAGATCGAAAGAGTGGATGCAGCAAGATTCGAAGAGAAAGTACCAGAGAGACGAGCGCGCTTGCTAGAACGGGTAGTGGGACCAGAAGACGAAGAAGAAGGGGCAGCTGAGGAGGCCTCCGCCCGCTTTCTGCTCCGAGTTTCCATACAAAAACCCAAACCCACGAATCGACGAGTCGCTCGCCACCGAGCGGCGATCACACAGTTCTTGATCTGAATTTACTACGCATCTGAGCAGTACGAAAATTAAAAACCTGTATATAGAAAAAAGAAAACAGCGAACTAGCTGAAACGAAACCAGCTAACTCCTCACACAATCCCCCAATTCGAAAACCCTAAATTTCCCCTTGTCCCGATACAAACAAAGAACGCGAATCCGCACCAGAAGAAACAGGAAATCACAAATTGCTCATAAACCCTTACGAGCAAAGAATGTAAAGAAATCAAAAACCGATTTCACCACCTAGAACACAACGCCCATCGAAATGTCATCCAGAAATCGGTGAAAATCCGGTGATTGAATACAAGCCTTCACAGCGTTGGAAATCTGAGTTCAAAATTGAATTTCAATAACAAAACGTCCCCTCAGGAATGGAGAAAGGGTAAAACGAAAGGAAAAAAAAAAAAAAAAAAAAAAAAAAAAAAAAAAAAAAAAAAAAAAAAAAAAAAAAAAAAAAAAAAAAAGCCCTAGGGACAATGAAATTTTAGAACAAGAAAAAGGGAACTAATTGTTCTTATTATATTATAGTGTGCTTTGGAAAGTAATTTAATTTTTTATTTCTTTTTATTTCATTTCCTGTTTTTAATTCCGTGTAGGATGAGCCTCCTCGTTTTGCATGGCGGTGGATGGCGAGTACAACAAGTATATACTCAACTCCCTCGCTTTGTTCCGACGCCGACGTCGAAAATCCCTCGTTCAAAATCGCCACGTGTGCTTCTAAAAAAATTAAATAAATAATATCTCTCAATTGCCACGTGGCCCAGTCTCATTTATACCCTTCAACTTTACAATAAATTTCCATGTTTCTCTGCTTATCTGACATATGATAATTAGCTTCATATCTATCTATTGACTCGAGTCCGGATCAGCGTACTACTTAAAAGGTCTTTCCTTTCAATGCCCCAACGAACCATTTGATCAGCATTTTCACATGTGTTCGATGAAACGAGCAACGTGTTATTTTTTTATTACCCTTCCCGTCCCTTCAAACTATTAAAGTTATGATGCTCTCGTGATGTCGATGGACAAAAAGAGAGGCAATTTGAACAACAGTGTTGTGGTCGATCTTCTCGTGCAGTGATGTTTTCTCTCTCTCGTGATCTTTAACAATTATAGTCTAACTTGATTCAACGGCATTTTGATTATCGACTATATTCGTTTGTTACACAATTTGAGAGTCTGTTTTTTCAAGTCTTATTTAAAATTTAAGGCTCGAGTAGCTACTACGACGATGATTGCATCATGATTGAGATCAACGTAAGTTATAAATAAGATAAGTAAATGGAGAATAGAAAAAAAAAGGAAGGGAACAAAGGATTCTAGAAGGGATTATTCATCTTCCTAGTCTTTGATACCAGAAAAATTCCTTTTCTTGTTCTTGTGTCGAAATAATAAAATAATTAATAATTCTTGATCCCGTTCGTCAAAGATCCCTATTCTTGGTTTCAATTTTTCCCGGTTTATCAGAACCGTTTTTTGATTTATTACATAAGTAGTGAAGGAACTTGTCATTAGGAGATGCCTCGATGGACTTATAAAGGTGTGTGAGAGTCGGTCACGACAAGAATCATTGAAGAAGTTTGTACATGCTTTTGTATCTTTCTTCGAGACATCGTATCTTCGCGTTCAAACTCGTGAAGGTTTATATAATATATTTACGAGTATATACTTACGGTGTAATATATAATAGAATGAAAATGTTACATATATTATTTAATTACGAATTTAACCTAATTAATGGTACATAAATCTAAATTTAATGGCTAATCTTAATAATGGAAAAAATATAAAACCCAATAATTTTGTAATTAATATACAAAATATCAGATAAATCAAGGGTTAATTTGGAATAAAATAATTTCCCCTTTTCTTTTTATTTTTAAAACTAAAATTTGTGGATTTTAATTTCTAAATAAAAATGGCATAATTAAAAAATATATTGAATTATGAGAGGGACAAATTTGGAATATCATCGAAGCCGAGGACTTCCGTATTACAGTTATTTGACAGTTATCGAAGTGGTCCCCACGCTCGATTCTTGCCTTGTAGTACCCGCCAACGTGGAGCCCCTAAAATTCGCCACGTTTTTTACACGAGCTCCAAAACGTGTGATTTTAATTTTTTTAAAAAATAATTATTTCCTTTTATCCATTTAAAATGAATGAATTTAAAATTTTATATTTGGATGAAAACTATTTTACTCATTATTTAAAGGTTGTAATAATAAATTAGAGAAATTTTGATTATATACCGAAACTTCTCTGTACTAAATACGTTTTAAAATCGTGAGGTCAACGACAATACACAATGAACCAAATGAGACAATGTTTATTAACAGTAAGCTTAAGCTATAACAAATAATATAAAAGTCAGTCACTAGACGTGTGCATCGACTACATCAGTTGGAGAGAGAAACGAAACAATACTTATAAAGATATGAAAATCTAGAGTTAGTCATTGAGCGATGTGCCAACGAGAACGATGGCCTACAATGAAGTAGATCGTGAGATTTCACATCGATTGGAGAGAAAAATGAAACATTTCTTATAAGTGTAAAAAAATTTATTTAATAAACCCGTTTTAAAACCACGAACATACGGTACCACTAAATCATTAATTAAAAAAAACGAATATAAAGTAGATGTTTTTTTTTTTCAAGCCACGTGGCAGCATTTCTTGAACTCGACCTCTCCGATTAAACCCTTCTTGTCGTGAGAATGTGACAACGAATCGCGTTATTCGGTGGATTGGAAAATAAGAAAAGAATTTTATTTTTATTATTTTTCTTATTCTTCAGGGCTTCAGAAAGCTTCTAAATCATAGTGAAAAAGACAAACAAAAACCGCCGTCGGAAGTGGGTTGTTCCCGAAATTCCCGGCTCCGACACGGCAGTTAGCGGCGAAAAGGGAGGGCGGTTTTTTGATGGATTTTCTGAACGTCCTATGGAGCATTTGGGGATTCTTTGTCGGAATTTCAGTGGGTCTGGTGGTCGGATATTTCTTGTTTATATACTCCAAACCAAGCGATGTGAAGGTATGTTGTTACAGATTTAACAGAGACATATGAACATTAATGATTTTTGTTGTGTTGAGGATGTCGCAGGAACCTGAGATTAAGCCGTTGACTGAACCTGACTCAGAAACCATACAGCGGATGCTCCCTGAGATGCCGTTGTGGGTGAAAAATCCTGATTATGATCGTGTAAGTAAATGATCTGGGAAATAGTTATTTTAGTTATGAAGGATTTAGTTGTTCATTGTAATGGTTTGGATATCCTAATTTAATTCGAGCTCATTTGATAATGTTCTGTTTTTTTTTACTTTTGAAAACGAAGCTTGTAAACGCTCCCCCGCGTCGAGGAACGAGCTTCTTCGTTGTGTTACATATTTTTGGAAATGTTTTTATGTGAGATTCTAGGTTGGTTGGAGAGGGGAACGAAACATTCTTTATAAGGGTGTGGAGACCTCTCCCTAGTAGACATGTTTTAAAGCTGTGAGGCTGATGGCAATACATAATGGGCCAAAGCGAATTTGGGCGGTTATAGATGGTATCCGGGCAAAACATTGAGCAATGTGTCAGCAAGGACACTGGGCCCTCAAGGGGTGGATTGTGAGATCCCATATCGATTGGAGAGAGAAATGAAGACTTCTCTGTAAGGGTGTGGAAAGTTCTTCCTAACATACATGTTTTAAAACTGTGAGGTTGATGACTATACGTAACGGGCCAAAGTAGACAATATGTACTAGCGGTGGGCTTGAGCTGTTACAAATGGTATCAGAGCAAGACACTAGACGGTGTGACAGTGAGGACACTGGACCCTCAAGGGGTGGATTGTGAGATCCCACGTTGGTTAGAGAGGGGAACGAAGTATTCCTTATAAGGGTATGGAAACCTCTCCCTGACACACGTTTTAAAACCGTGAGGCTGATGACTATACGTAACGGGTCAAAGCGGACAATATCTGATAGCGGTTGTTCAGATTTGAGTTCTTTTGACTGCTAAATTTTGTTGATGGATTTGGCTAATAACATTATTTTGATTCTTTTTTCTTAAAGATGGACTGGCTCAACACGTTTATTGACTATCTCTGGCCTTATCTTGACAAGGTAATTGTTTCCATTACTTCATTATCATTCAAATTTGTTGACTTTTTCTGCTCTTCATTCTGCTTATACTCATTAATCTCTCTGTTTAGGCAATTGTTAAGACAGTAAGAGCTGTTGTTAAGCCTATAATTGCTGAGGAGATTCCCAAGTATAAGATCAAGTCGGTCGAATTCCAAGAGCTCACGCTCGGCTCGCTCTCGCCCACTCTTCAAGGTTCTCGAATAACTTGTTTTACTCACCGTCTTCCTGCTGCTATGTAACAGCTAGAAACTAAGGGTCTAAAAGAGCGAACGATCTAATTTTCGGGGTATTAACTCTCGGAGGACGGCTAAGAATGTCCCTTAGATGGCAACACCGGGCGGAAACGAAATGCCCCTAAACAAACACCTTTTCCTTTCGTCGCGAAATTTTGGATTGAAAATAGTGTTTGCTGCATGTTCTTAACAGGTATGAAAGTCTATGAAATGCATGAAAAGGAGTTGATATTGGAACCTGCAATCAAATGGGCTGGAAATCCCAACATCATGGCTGCAGTTACAGCATTTGGATTAAAAGCTACCGTTCAGGTGACCATACATTTTTTTGTAACACAGCCCAAGCCCACCGCTAACAGATATTGTCCGCTTTGACCGGTTACATATTGTCGTCAACTTCACGGTTTTAAAATGTGTCTGCTAGGAGGGGTTTCCACACCCTTATAAGGAACGCTTCGTTCCCCTCTTCAATCGATGTGGGTTCACACAATCCACCCCCTTGGAGGCCCAGCGTCCTCGTTGGCACACCGTCTAGTGTTTAGCTCTTATACCATTTGTGGGGAAGCCCGGAAGGGAAAGCACAAAGAGGACAATATCTGCTCGCAGTGAACTTAGGCTGTTACATTTTTTTACTAAGGAAATGCTTCGGAGAACAAGTTCTTATTTCCCTTTTTGACTTTGTTGAAAGCTGGTGGATCTGCAAGTTTTCGCGGTGCCACGGATCGTCTTGAAGCCACTGGTTCCGAGCTTTCCTTGTTTTGCAAACATTTCCGTGTCTCTAATGGAGAAGGTTCGTGATTGTTTTTAGTTTCGTGGGTAGTCTGCAATATCGTCTATGGTCTTTGCTGCTAGTTTAATTTGAGAGGCGACGTTGAGATCGTTTTCTCGAACAGGCCTAGTAGTTTGATATGTTTAGGAGGTTTAACATGGCTAGATAGTAACATTTCTCTTTTGCACAATTTGCAGCCACACGTCGATTTTGGACTAAAGTTCATGGGGATCGACCTGATGTCAATACCCGGTCTTTATACGTTTGTCCAGGTAAGACGCCATTGAATCAATCAAGTGTTTAACGTTTACGCTTGGTTTTATGAACACCTTGTCCGACTGACCGAACAATTTCTTAGGAGCGCATAAAAGATCAGATTGCAAGCATGTATCTATGGCCAAAGACTCTAAAAATACAAATTATGGACTCAGCTAAGTATGTGTGTAAGCTTGTGAAATTTATTGAAGATTTCTTTCTATGTTCGGGTTCGACTAATCGAGTATAACTTTATAGAGCGTTTAAGAAGCCCGTGGGGATTCTCCATGTGAAAGTTGTGAGAGCAATGAACCTTAGGAAAAAGGATCTTTTAGGTGCATCCGATCCATATTTGAAACTAAAGCTCACCGACGACAAGTTACCTTCGAAGAAAACATCCGTGAAGCACAATAACTTGAACCCCGAATGGAACGAGGAGTTCAAGTTAGTCGTTAAAGATCCCGAATCCCAAGCCTTAGAGCTTCATGTTTATGATTGGGAGCAGGTATTAATTCTTACAACGTGTACCATATTTCTTACCATGTCCCGGTGGACGGGCACCGAAAATAAAGCTTTTGTGATATCTCAGGTTGGGAAGCACGACAAGATGGGCATAAACGTTATACCGCTGAAAGATCTTCCTCCTGACGAGGTGAAAGTTCTGACTCTCGACCTTAGAAAGAAGGTTGATTCGGGTGGCACTGATAACGAGAAGGACCGCGGTCAGCTTGTAGTTGAACTTAAATATAAACCGTTAAAAGAAGAAGAGATGTCGAGGGGTTTTGACGAAATGCATGAAGTACCGAAAGCTCCCGAAGGAACGCCTGCTGGGGGCGGTTTGCTGGTTGTCATAGTTCATGAAGCTGAAGATGTTGAAGGAAAACATCATACCAATCCATTTGTAAGGATTTACTTCAGAGGGGATAAGAGAAAGACTAAGGTATGTCAGTCGAAAAACGTTCCAACTAGTAGAAGTAGTGTTTACGAGCTTAATTTTCACCTCGAAACGTTAACGTTGTGCAGCGGGTGAAGAAGAACAGAGATCCGAGATGGGAGGAGGAGTTCCCTTTTCCGCTAGACGAACCGCCCACGAACGACAAAGTACACATAGAAGTTGTCAGTACCTCTTCAAAAATAGGTTTGCTGCATCCAAAGGTAAAAAAACATTACCAAGCTGAAAACCAAACCATTAACTTGTTGAACACAACTCACTGTGGGAAACACTCGCACTCTTTATTAAGACCAATCGAGAAGAGAATACAAGACACTCGGTAGAATACTTCTGCTTTTTATTGTTTTTAGATTTCTTAGATGAATAACCTAGGTAGGGTGGAGAGGTATTTATACTAAGAGTAAACAATCTATATTTAACCAATCTAAATCTAGACCTAACCGATTTGAATCTAGACCTAACAAATTGAATCTTTCTCCTAAAATATCTACATCTCTTTCTCCTAAAGTCTCTACTAAAATAAATATACTGGGCTCGTACAATTAGGCTTGACTCTATTGGGCTAGTACAATTATTGGGCTTGACTCTATTGGGCTAGTGATGATATTTCAACACTCCCCCTCAGCACTAGTCCTCATTCGCTGCACCATGTTGAGGTGACAGCGAAAACTCTCATGTTTGCCAGTATTCAGCCCTCTACATCTCTGTCTTGATTTGCTGCATCTTGATCTCTTCCTTTAGGACCTTCTCTCTAATGAAGTGGTTGTGCACCTCCACATGCTTTGTTCTAGCATGAAACACCGGATTTTCTGCAAGGCGAATCGCAGATTGATTGTTGCAATAAAGTGGTATTGGATACTCAATTTTCTGGTGCCAATCTTCCATCAAAAGTTTTAAGCATGTATTTTCCTGAGTTGCTCCAGCTGCTGCTCTGTACTCTGCTTCTTTAGTTGACAATGATATTGTTTGTTGTCTTTTGTTACACCAAAAAATTGTTCTTGAACCGAGCTTGAACACATACCCAGTGATTGATCTTCGGGTATCGTGGTCTCCTTTGACATATCTTAAGGTCGGTCGAGCTGTATCTAAATAAGGCTTCTTCAGATTTTGCATATATTGATCAAAGACTCCAACTTCATTTTCGAATTTTTTCGGTTGGTCCATGTAGAACTCTCTGTTTAACTCTCCCTGCAAGAAAGCATTATTCATATCCATCTGCCATAATTTCCAATCTTTATTTACCGTAAGTACTGGAGGAACTTGTACGATAATGATCTTTGCCACTGGCCTAATCGTTTCATCATAATCTAGTCCATATTCTTGAGAGAACCCTGAATCTATAGTCTGAGCTTTGTATCTCACGATTGATCCATCCGGGGTACACATTATTTCGTAAGCCCACTTGCAAGAGATGAGTTTGGTATCTCTTGGTCTTGACACTAATTCCCAAGTCTGATTTTGTTCTAGGGCTATAGTTTCTTCCTCCATTGCTTTCTGCCAAGCTGAGTTTTGTGATGCTTCTTCATATATCTCTGGCTCATTAACTTCGTCTTCTACTGCGTTGGCATACTCTAGATTTTCCTTTAGGATTATTTCTGAATGTCTGAGTTGTTGAGGTGTCATTTCATTTTCACTAGGCTCGCTTGGTTGAGTCACTTCTTGCTCGCCAACACTAGTGTCACTTGAATCTTCAGGCATATCAGCACTTGAGCAAATGTGTACAATTTGCTCCCCCGTCTTTTGTGGAAGAATCTCTTCAGTTTGCTCCCCTATGTTCTGGAGAAGAATCTCTTCAGTTTGCTCCCCTATGTTTTGTAGAAGAATCTCTTCAGTTTGCTCCCCTATGTTCTGGAGAAGAATCTCTTCAGTTTGCTCCCCTATGTTTTGTAGAAGAATCTCTTCAGTTTGCTCCCCTATGTTCTGGAGAAGAATCTCTTCAGTTTGCTCCCCTATGTTCTGGAGAAGAATCTCTTCAGTTTGCTCCCCTATGTTCTGGAGAAGAATCTCTTCAGTTTGCTCCCCTATGTTCTGGAGAAGAATCTCTTCAGTTTGCTCCCCTATGTTCTGGAGAAGAATCTCTTCAGTTTGCTCCCCTATGTTCTGGAGAAGAATCTCTTCAGTTTGCTCCCCTATGTTCTGGAGAAGAATCTCTTCAGTTTGCTCCCCTATGTTCTGGAGAAGAATCTCTTCAGTTTGCTCCCCTATGTTCTGGAGAAGAATCTCTTCAGTTTGCTCCCCTATGTTCTGGAGAAGAATCTCTTCAGTTTGCTCCCCTATGTTCTGGAGAAGAATCTCTT